TTGTGCATATTAATTACCTATTTGCATAATTAATTTTCAGCTTTTCCACTGATATCTAAAGTACTAATCATCACATTTCAATGAATCTAGAATTATGCAGAGACCCAATTAGTTTTTGGTAAATATTTGTGCATATTAATCACCTACATGTAATTTGCATAATTAACCAATTTCCAACTTTCACACTGATATCTCAGGTACTAATCATCACATATCAATGAATGTTTATACATGGATGCTGTAGGACAATAGACAGACCTGGATAATTGTGGGTTAAAATCTGTACATATTAATTACCCAATTTGCATAATTAGCCAATTTTAAGCTATCTAAAGTACTAATTTCCATTTTAATGAAACTTAGTACAAAGATGCTCTAGGACAATGTACAAACCTAATTAGTTTGGGGTAAAACTCTGTTCATATTATTTCCCTAATTAGCATAATAATTCATAATTTTTTGGTTCTAATCACATTTCAATTAAACTTGGTACATAGAGTTTTTGTTACATTGTGCAGACCTCATTAGTTTTACAATCAAATCTGTTCATGTTAATTTTCTGATTTGCATAATTAGTTTTCAGCTAAGTAATTTCAAATTATATTTAATGTGTCTCCAATACTCTCAGCACATGGGAGTTCTTTCTAAGCTTTCTTTGATTTTTATATGAAACATCAAGAGAGTCAATCTGTGCATGTATGAACAAGAGATACCACCACCAACAGCAGGCACATCCCCTTCTCTAATTTTTTCTTTATTTCAAATAAAAAAACTTGAAACAGATCTTTTATAATATAATTTAATAAACCAATGAACATTGTCATATGATTTATGACCAACTTTCCCCAAAGTATAATAAATGATGCATACAGCAAGTAATGAGAATTTAACAATTCACAATAACAATAGTTTTATTTTTACTTCTCATGCTGTAAATTATCAGTATGTAATTTATGACTTTTTTACCTTTATTTGCTTGAAATCCCATCACAGAGTAGGATTTTCCACTTCCTGTTTGTCCATATGCAAATAAGGAACAGTTATATCCTTTCCAAGCGTTCTCCAACATATTTAAACCCAAATTATCAAATACTCTTTGCTAAAATGAGAGAAATTACAAAAAGAACATGAATTATTACTTATTTCAAAGCTTTCACCAATTTTTTAAGACTCCACCAACATTTTAAAGTCCTCCCTAATTTTTAAGACCATACCAACATTTTAAAGCCATCCACAATTTTTCACAACCCAAACCACATTTTAAAGCCATCCACAATTTTTACAACCCCAACCACATTTTAAAGCCATCCACAATTGTTACAACCCCAACCACATTTTAAAGCCATCCACAATTTTTACAACCCCAACCACATTTTAAAGCCATCCACAATTTTTACAATCACACCCACATTTTAAAGCCATCCACAATTTTCACAACCCCAACCACATTTTAAAGCCATCACCAATTTTTACAACCCCAACCACATTTTAAAGCCATCCACAATTTTTACAACCCCAACCACATTTTAAAGCCATCCACAATTTTTACAACCCCAACCACATTTTAAAGCCATCCACAATTTTTACAACCCCAACCACATTTTAAAGCCATCCATAATATTTACGACCCCAACCACATTTTAAAGCCATCCACAATTTTCACAACCCAACCACATTTTAAAGCCATCCACAATTTTTACACCCAACACATTTTAAGCATCCACA